TAGGTAAATCCAAATTAAAAACAATTAAAATGTAAAACAATCTTAATAAAATTCTCATTAAATTACGTTAAGATAATCACTGATAATTAATTAAAATAAAAAACATGTACAAAAGCTTCTCAATGGAACTAAACATTTTAACAGCGCAATATTTTAATAACATTTCCTACAACTCATGGAGTTCACGACGTCCTCCCATCATTTTATTTTCCTGCAATTCACGTGAATGGTCATTGATAGGCAGTTTTCTTTATCTATATATATATATATAATTACTAGCTAATGCATTTAATAAAACATTTAATAAAATCTATTTCATTTCCCTTCAAAAGAAGTTACATTTTTTTTAATTAATTACTCACTAATCTGTTAAAACCGTTACACCTTAATATATATATATATTTTTATTATTTATTTTCTGGATCAGTTACTAAATTAATTTTAATTTTGGTAGCAAAATATTCCAATGTGTAACGGCTAATGTTGGAACTTGAAGTTGATTGGCACATTCAAAGATGTAACTGCTATATTTGGTTGCATTGTTGGAAAAAAATATGATTGACACATTTTTTTTTCTGAAAATCAGAAACACGAATAATTTTTTTTATTTATGTTAATTTTTTTAATATATGCCACAAATATATAAATAATTTATTCATGTTACTAATGTAAACGTTGCATGGCTAAAAATAAAATCTAAATCTCAATTAATTTGAATGATAAAGATAACTTAAGAAAAGTAATAACTTTTATATGATAGAAGTACATGTCTAATTAATAAATACAAACAAAAACATAATTTTGACTCTAAAAATAAAATCCTTAGTTGGTGGAACATAAATTTCAGTTACAAAAATCATATCAAATGCGCCACTATTATATAGTTCATATTTTTTCAGTTGTCAAAATATTTTCAACTAATCATGTTGTTGATTTGTTAGTATTTACACTAATTAATTTTTAGACTTTTTCTATGTGCTTATAAATAAAACAAAAATCAGACACATTTTTACCTTGCATTTCCACACTCATAATCGCAGTCACCGAAAAAACATATTTAGACATAAAATATTTCTTTTGAGTTCTAAATGGCAGTGTAATTTGATAATATGATTTTCTTGGCTAAGAACAAGAAAAAAATACTGCAATATAGTGATTGATTCGATTTTAGTTAAAGAAATATCCGGCAAACAAAGAAGTAACTACTGGGCCGAAGTTTGTTTTTCATGATGTAAGACATGTATAAATTAAAAGCATGTCTACGAAGGCTAAATAAAATCAGAATCGATTTTTTCTCCGATTAGAGAAAAAAAGATTAAAAGTGAAGAAGAAACGACGAAAATAATGTAGGTGGTAGGGTTTTAGACATTAAATACCCGTCTCTACCATTTTATTGAATCTTCTATATTTGTGTGGTGGATGAAGTTTTGAGTGTGCTATATTGGTCCGTGCATTTGGGTTATGTTAATTTGGCCCAGTTTTGGGCCCGAAAAGAAAAAAAAAAAAACATCAGTCATACTACTTGGATTCAAACGAAATCAAGTTTATTTGACCCATTTTTTGCCCAAAAAAAAAAACTTATTGTTTGATTTTGTTTGGGATTTGTTAATCAAACAATGGAATGTGAATGTTTGGGCATAAGTTATAAAAAAAAATATAATGGGTTGTAGCTTAATTTAAAACATGCTCTTAATAAATTTTTTTATTTGGCTACATCAAGAAATCAGACTGGGCTTCGAAAAATTATAGACGTTGTATATAAAGAAGTGTTTAATTATATTTGAATTTTCTTTCTTAAAACTTTTTTTCAATGACTATGTTATGATTTTTACTATCGTATTATTTTATTTTTTTATCATATAGTTTTCTGTGCAAATGCACTGGTAACAACTAGTTTGAATAATAGAGATCATATGGAGTTGTTAATTGAAGCCTCCAGCCTGCCTCCTTGTGTTGTAAAAATATTGGAAACTTCACCTGAAGTATTTGTGGCGATTTGAAGGTGCGTTATGTGGTTGTCGCCTTGTGTTGTAAAATATTGGAACTTCACCAAAGTATTTGTGGTGATTTGGAGGTACGCTTGTGATGTGGAACGTGAATAAGAACGGGAAAAAAAAAAAAGAGATACACTCTCGTTAAACCACACAAGAACAGATTTTATTTCTTAACCTTCAACTGATCGTTTGTTCTCATCCCACAATAAGAATAAATAGAGTCCAAGATTTATAAATCTCTAACTTTAGAAGCAAGTAAATAAATATTTTTCTAATCAAAACTAATTAAGATAAATAAGGAATAAAGATACTAAATAATAATAATATAACGTGACTAATTAAATCAAAGCCGAAAGCCGATCGTATTTGTCCATAAAATACAACGCGAGCTCTTCTCCATCATCCTCCCCGGTTGAGAAGGATTCGCCCTCTAATCTGGACCGAGCTCGTCTTCATCTAAGTCGTCAATATGCAAAGGAGCTAACTACGCCACGTGAAAAACATCTGACAAATGAGCATGAGAGGGCAAGCAAAGACGGTATCAGAAGACACGATGCTGCAAACAACAGGTGTGTCACCGCCATCTACAACTTGAGCCGCCTGATCGAGTGGTTTTGCCGCCGGCTTGAGACGATGGGTCATCAGATTGCAGATATGTCCGTGGAGATTGGGGACATATGTCTAACTTTTGGTACCATGGTTCAGGACAAGCAAACATATCATGACGCCGGCAACCTGGGCGTGCGCGGGGGAATTCACGGAGGACGTGGAGGCGGGGCGCCCGCCGGAGATCTCCACAACCACCGTTCGACGATGAAGACCGCGAGGAGACAGTCTCGAAGGTGAATCCCATCGATGATTTTCAACCCCGCACGTCGAGACTGACCTCTTTACTGCATATGGCGGCCGTGACATGCGGCGACGGGGGCCGGTCTTCGTGGACGGAGACAATAAACGCGACGGCAGAGGCAAGCGCGAGGAGGCTTCCCTCGTCGGCGGATATCGTGCCCAACGCGATTTAATTTGATCTTGAATATGATCGATGGGAGGCTCGTTTCGTGTTGACATCCCCGAATTTAACGGCGAGCAAGTTGAAGGGTCATTGTACGATGGTCCGCCAGTGTTTGATGAAGGACCCGAGGAGGTAGAGGAGCGTCTTACCGGTGAAGTGGACAGTCTCTACGACGGGCGGTCGATTTTCGATGTGGAGCCTTCGGGGCTGGAGGAATTCCATCATGTTCCGGGTATCGAAATTCAGTTGTTGGAAGAATTTGTAGTTCTTTTGATTGTGCAGGCCCGAGCTTTTCTCCCATGGAAATTTGTTGCGGCCTTGCAAACGAATGCTATTTTTCGGTCCCAATGGTGACGTCAAAATTTTATGTGTGTCTGATGCATATATGTCTTTCCATAAATTTTAAGGGGGTGATACTATGGAGGTGCGATATTCAACCTTCGTGCTCGACAGGAGAAAACGTTGAGGGTTTCCTACCATGGTTCGACACCACACGCCAGCCACGCGTGCGCATCAGGTTCGAGGACGAAGCCTTCCGAACCGGGAGAGAATGTTGTAGATTATTATTATTATTATTATTATTATTATTATTATTATTATTATTATTATTATTATTATTAGCATAAGTGTCTTAGAGAGTAAGTTATGAATTTAATATCATTATATGAGATCTTATTTTGTTGGACAAGTTAGGAATAGGATTTAGGAGCCTTATTTAAAAGATTTCCCCATCTATTGTTTTATGCAGTTGATTATGAATAAAAGATGAATTGAAAAAGTATTTTGGTGTTCTTGAGATTGCTATCTCATCGATATCGTCCCAGACTCCCACTCGTTCGCTTCCATACATGTTTGTTAGGGAAAGTTTACTAATAACTTATCAACATTTTAGAATTACAAAAAATTATCAATGCCTCTAAAGTAAAAATGGTTCTTGCCAATGATCAAGTGATGTAATTAATCTTGAATTAACTAAGAAAAGTTCAAATCACGCTGATGATACAAATTGGTTGTGCAAGCTTGGTTATAATAACATGAAATCAAATCACTATAGTTAACATGAAATCAAATCACTATAGTACGTTGCACATATGTTATTTCATGATATTAACAAAATTCTCATCACAAATCTTAAAAATAATAAGTCGTTGTACTTCACGAAACATTTGCATGCCAATAATGCCATGTACACAATCGAGACTCAATGATCACCTCAAAATTGTTACACCAACCAATGCTCCTCCTTCATTCTCTCTTGCTAATAACAACCCTAAAACAAAGTCATTCCCAAGTTTTGGACATCATTCATTTTCTCCACACAAACTCATGCACCTTTGAGTCTCCATTATCCATTTTCCCAACTACACAAAAAAGGAAAGAAAGCCTTATTTTTTCTATCCACCGTACAAATATTCTTTCTCTCTTTCACCCTCTTCCTAATCTCCTTGCCGCCAGGCAATGGTAACGGGCTCCGTCCAACCTTTGCCTTCGCCTCTGCCGCAACCAACACCGTCTCCGCCGATCACGGCGCCCTATGGATACCCGCCCTTCATCATCGTCCTCACCTCCATCCTACTCCTTATCTTTTTCCTGGTCTTATTCTCCATCTACTTCTGTCGCAACTTTTTTGGCTCGTGCACGAGCCTCCGTCGCGGCCCCACAGGGGACGGTGCGGGTCCCACCGCCCTGCCCGCCCCTGACACGCCTGGGCCAGGCCTCGACCCTGTCCTCGTCCGGTCGTTCCCTACCTTTGTCTACTCGACCGTCGAGGGCTTCCGAAAGGAAAAGTACGGGCTCGAGTGTGCCATATGCCTCGTCGAGTTTCAAGGAGACGACATCCTCCGGCTGTTGACCACGTGCTACCACGTGTTCCATGAGGAGTGCGTGGACCTCTGGCTCGGGGGCCACCGCACGTGCCCCGTGTGTCGGCAGAACCTCGACTCCCCTACGGCCCAATCGCCCGTCAAATCCTCGGGCAGCGGTGACGAGGCAACGGGGGTAGGGTCCGAAAGCTACACCATCACGATAAAGGAGGGAGACGACGAGGACAAGCAGGATTGTGGTGACGTGGAAAATCACATGAGGTCGCACTCAACGGGGCATTCGTTGGGCACAGGTAGGGAGAGATATACTCTAGTGCTGCCGGAGCACGTGAGATCGAGCATCATTAGGGGTCATCATAATCCGAGCCATAGTTGGCCTACATTCGGGAAATCGAACAACACTAGTGATAGCAATGGTGTCGGTCATCGGATTCCAACAAAGTTAGACGGTAGAGATAGAGAAGAACACAAAGAATAGACTCTCCGATGAATTTTTTTCTTTTTTTGGCTTCATTGTTTATGCATTGCCTTCCCTTTTAATTCCATGCACAAAGAAAAGCAGGATTGTAGAGGTGATGAAATCGTCATCATCATCATACGAGAGTGCATTCAATTGAAACTTTTAAAGAATTTATTTTTAAGAATTTTGGAAACTCTTTGAGACTTCTCTTTCCTTTTAAAAAAAAAAGAAAGATAGACGCATTAAATAAATGAGATAATTACAAGCTAAAGAGCAACTAATACTGCTGACTCAAACAAGTATAAAAGTTGTTGAATCAAACAAGTATAAAAGTTGAATCTAGGAGAGCTGCAAATGATAGTTTCATGATTACCCCATTTGGCTAAGCTTTAGCGGTAATTTTTTAGTAGGTTTTCAACACATGATAGAAATATGTATACCTTTCCTGTAAAAATTTAATAGATTTTTTATAATATAAAAGTTATTTATTTACTACTAGTACAGATCTCGTGTGCGATGCACGAGGTGCACAAAATTAAAGTCATTTATCAAGTCTTATAATTATATAAATGAATAAAAAAAAAATGTACGGGATATATATAGTACGTGCTCTATAATAGGTCAAAATATGAACACAAGTGATGCACGAGGTGCATAATTTTAAGGTTATTTATTAGTACAGAGTCTGTGCGATGCACGGGGTACACAATTTTCTAGTATGTGTAATACAAATACATACCGTATGCACGGGACATAAGCACTAAATGAGTTACTTCCACAGAGCTTGCCCGTTAAGTATCTCCTGAACACGGGTGCACAATTTGAAGTACGTACTATAAAATCAGAACAGATTTCCATACAATTAGATAATAAATTAGATTATAAATAAAGCCTTTTTTATTTAGTAATTATACGTACTTTTTTTTACTTATCGGATGTTACGAGATTTTTTTTGTTAAACCGATTTGATGGGATATAATACAAATACAATTAGAGGATTGAACAAAATCAGAACAGATTTTTATACAATTAGATAATAAGAAGGAATTAGATAAGGAAAAAAGAAATTAGATAAAGAATTTTGAATCTACATTTTTTTTAGTATAGATAGACTTTACGTACAAATTTTGACTTCACCGATTTTATGAGATTTTTTTTGACAAAATCAAAGATGAACACTGAAAAATGTTTATATTAACATTTACAATGTGTATTTAATGTTTTTATTTTGGCAAATTATTCTTTTTAAGTGTGATATATAAATATTAAAAATACTTAAAATATTTTATAACATCTATAAAAGCATCTAAAATATTCTATATTATTCACAAATAATGTTTGAAGATACCTAAATTTTTCTAAACTACCTGTAAGGAAAATATGTCTAAAAATTCTTCATTTAACCTCCATATATCTATATATCTAAAAATTCTTCATTTAACCTCCATATATGTACCTCTATATATATATATATAGAGAGAGAGAGAGAGAGAGAGAGAGAGAGAGCAAATGTGTAAAAAAAATTATACAAATAATATTTAAAAGTATCTAAAATATTAGTAATTGACAAGTGAAAGTTAGATTTTTAAAAAATCTATATAGATAATGGATTTATAGTAGTAATTAGACTTTTATTTATTTACCTTTAAAGTTGTTACGATAGATGAGGGATGTGATTTTTTTACTCGTGGAGATGGAATTTTATAA